ATAGCTAAACTAAATCTAGTGAAGGCCAGGTAGCCCATTCTAGTAGAGTTTTGGGCTGAGGATACACTAGTCCTAGCTGTAGGTCCCTGTAATAATTCATGTAATCCATTTTAAATGTAACGCATAATTATTCAATAAAGACCGAGGCCAGGCCTCACTCTTAAAAAAATATATAATATAAATAAAATTTATAATTGAAACATTTGATAAACTATGCAATGCATAAATACTTAACGTTAGCATTTGCGTGCCACCAACTGAAAAACCAGGAATTCCAAAAATAAAATTCTTTAGACAACGGAATACGGATTTTGAATACTAAACGTAATCAAAAAAATAGCATAATATATTACTTTATTTAGATCGGTTAAAGGCGGGGCTACCGAATAATTGATTGTGAAAGCATTTAATTGCAATTATTTGATCTCAATTAATTGATTGGTGGCGCAGCTACAATTGGCAATTTTGTCACAGGATGTAAACATAATGACTTGCTGATCTTTGACGTCAAAATTATAGATAAAAAATAAACTTATTATAATTAATATGTAAAAATTGAATTAATTGCAATTACACTATTTCACAATTAATTGTTTTGCAATTGTTTTATCTGTAACAATTTAACTGAATGTAATTGTGTAATAATTTAATTGCAGTTGAATTTTTGGGACCACTGGTTAAAGGCCCGCATTCCGTTATGCCAAGAAATCTATTTTAAGAATTCCTGGTTTCACTTGGAGACACCCATTTTATTCGCTTAATTAGTGAGCAAAAGGTTATTTACATTTGTTTGAATAAATAAGGAGATTCTTATAATTTGCTCGACAGATTAGATATTTATTTATTACAATCTGGAAATTGTACCCCATAACTTATTATAAGTTACGGTACAAATACCATAGCCCATTACAATTGTAGATTGACGCAATTTCAAAGCTTCCTTTTTAAAATCTTACAATATCAATATATCTTCCCGTTCCTGGTTTAGCAGCAACTGCGTTGCGCAGCTATTTTTATTGGTTAATCGATGTAGGTCTCCAAATAAGGAAATTAAAAATGGTATCAGCTATTCAAAAATTGACATTTATGCACGTGTCGTTTTCAACACAAGTATTAATACTGTAACCTGCATTCTGCATTAGGTGGGAAAAATGTGAAAATTGTAACAGGCAATTTGTTTCGCTAATATTATTGGAAGATTCATAGAATTCTAGAAATAATGAATTTGAAATTCAAAGTTTAATATTATTTAATCAGTAATGTTACGTAAATATATTTGAAATTCAAATTAAAAAAAATTAATGAGATTAAACTTGGAATTTCAAATTTCTTATTTCTAGAATTCTATGAATCTTTAATGCTGCAGCATACCCGAATAAACACTAAATGAAATTTTATTCCTTATAAAGTAAATTAAATCATGAATGTCGGACAAATAATTTAAGTGTTTGTCAAAGTTTGTAACAAACAAACCTATTTGGAATGTCAAAAACCGGCCTACTCAGATGACAGCTAATAAGTTATGTTAGAGACAATTATTAATTAATATGCTAAATCATTAAACATACTAGTTACTACTCAGACTTCAGGCTTTCAAGCTTAATATTTTTTAATTACCTGACTTAGCACTGACCGGCGACATATATTATAACTAAATTTGCTTACATATCATATATGTCCTTGGTCAAGACTAAGTCCAGTAAATTATAAATATCCGCAAATTACAAATAATAAACTCGAAAGTCAGGAGTCTATATTTCTGCATTCATAAAGTATTACAAACGTTTACATATCGATAATCGTCAAAAGCCATGCGATTTTACAAATTTGGTTCAGTCCTTTGTACACATTTGATCTTGTGTCTAGAGTTGTAAGACAATGTTAATTTTATCCGAGCAAGAAACATATAACCTAGTGCTTTAACTAACATTCCATAACGTATAAAAACGCGATGAGCTCCACTTTCAAAAAATTGTTCAATTTCACATAACCATTACACGCTAATAAAGATGAAACATTTTACATCTGTCATTCTCTTCTTAATTGTCGCTTCTATTGGAGTGACCGTCAATGCTATCGTGACGGGAACATATTTTGACCGAATTGTTTTAGTCATTTTTGAAAACACTGGATATACTAAAGCGATTGCACAAGACTATTTTAAAAACATAACTCAGCGTAGTAATGGCCTTCTTCTTTCCAACTTTTTCGCAGTCACACATCCTTCTCAGGTAAATTTTTTTCTATTTCTTTTTAATCTTAAAATTTGAAAATAACTTTCTTGTCTTTTAGCCAAATTACATTGCCGAAATTTATGGTTCAACAGCTGGTATCACAGACGATTCCAATCACAACATTGCTGGAAAAAATTTAGTTGACCTTCTTGAAGCTAAAGGTATCTCTTGGAAAGCTTATATGGAAGACTATCGTATGTTATCATGTTTATCACAAAATCTTGATTTATTTATTGTATTTATTTATTGTGTTCATTTATTTATTCATTTATTTATTCATTTATTTATTTATTTACTTATTTATTTACTTATTTATTTATTTGAATTTTTATTCACTTTCACCCTATTGTCTATAGCCGGCAACTGTTACACTGGTGCTACTGCTCCTTCTGGCCAACATTTATACGCAAGAAAGCATAATCCTTTCATTTCAATGGATGACATAAGAACAAATTCGACTCGTTGTGCAAAAATAGTTCCCGGTACCCAACTTGATACTGATATTAATAATAATGCAGTACCACAATTTGTCTATTATACACCAAATCAAAATAATGACGGACATGACACTGGTTAATGCTTGGATCCGGATATATAACCGGATATCCGGATATGTATTCTCTTTTATATTTTTTAATTCGGATTTATAA